TGCACTCACAAAATTGGTTGGTAAATTCAACGAGTGGGTGCATCGACCTGGTATATCAAGTTTCTGCAATTTTTTACGGCAAATCAGTAGATTTTCGGGATGTAGATTGCTTACTTTCAATTCATGAATGAATAAAGCAACGACATGGTTGAACTTCTTTGCATGGAAAGACGTTTAAAATAACAAAATCAAGACGTATTTAATGCAATTGCATTTATATCGAGTCAATTTCTTTTCAATAATATAACGGGATTTTTACTACCGGTGATTTGGGTATTTTAGCCCCAAAATACCTTTAAATCGACTTTATCTTCTAGGAGTTCGACAGAATTTTTCCTTTCTTCGCTTAAATTATTCCGTAGCACTTTTCTTCAAGAATCTGATAAGATTTTGCTTGAGGCAGATCAAAAAACTTAAATTCGATCGAATAGCTTTCTACTTTCACAATACACGGTCTCGTCAAGGTGCGTCTTTGACCTCGCAGTGTTGGATCGTGAATTCTCTTTTTATGCTGTTTGCCTATTTTGAAATCTCTGTAAATGAAAACTAAAGGGGTTGATATGTGCGAGTTAATGACGCGCCTTATCAACACATTGTGTTGGAGTTCACTGCTTGTTTTTTTTTTATTTCAACGACCGATGATGATGACTTAGGTTCGAGTTTTCGGCATTGGGGACTGACACTGTATCCGTATACGCGCATTGAGCGTTAAGAATCTGAGTCGGTTTTTCGCCTAGTTCAATGGGTCAGTTGCGCGGGTCACATAATTCTTGTAGATAAACTAAACATAATAAGATCCGTCCAAACCGCGACTTTTTACGTTCAGTATTAACCGAGATTTCGCCCTTTGAAAAGTCGGGTTTTTGACGTCATCCACCGAGGTAGTGACACCCTTAGTTTCTTCCACCTTGCTTTCATCCGAGTTTCACATGGGATAACCAGTGCAAGTATGCGTCACAGCGACTGATGAAAGTAAGGTGGAAGAAACCAAGGGTGTTACTACCGCGGTGGATGACGTCAAAAACCCGACTTCTCAATGGGCGATCTTGGTTAATATTGACCGCAGTAAGTTGTGCTTCGGACGCATCTTATTATTTTTAGCTAATCTACTGAGATCATGCTTCAAAACACGATTCATGCGGCGGGCAGCCAGCTTGACAAGCACATTGGCGCCTACAAACCTAGAGAGATACTTCAAGCATTGCGCAATGCGTGAAGTATCCCTGTTGGTTTGTAGGAATCCATAAAAATCAAGCCTCAATCAAAACACGATTCATGCGGCGGGCAGCCAGCTTGACAAGCACATATTGGCGCCTACAAACCTAGAGAGATACTTCAAGCATTGCGCAATGCGTGAAGTATCCCTGTTGGTTTGTAGGAATCCATAAAAATCAAGCCTCAATCAAAACACGATTCATGCGGCGGGCAGCCAGCTTGACAAGCACATATTGGCGCCTACAAACCTAGAGAGGAGAGATACTTCAAGCATTGCGCAATGCGTGAAGTATCCCTGTAGGTTTGTAGGAATCCACAAAAATCAAGCCTCAAAACACGATTCCATTACCAGCGCAGTTCGTCGCTCCTCTGGCGTAAGGGCGCATCTCGATAGCCGTATGAGCCCCAGAAAGCACGGATTTATAGGTAAAACAGAGCTCACGTAGAAATTAAGACTTACGTCAGAGGAGCAACGAATTGACTCATTGAACCAATACCGAGCGCTGGTGCGTTAAATGACCCTATTTTGTGACGTGAGCTTTTATGACGTGTTTTTCATTGCAGGTAACAAGCCGTTCGCACTTGTTTTGGCTACGATGCCGTTCCCGGGTAAGAGCGACACGTGGGTCAAGATCAACGCCGCCTTGCGCCATTACAACTTCGATCCGCACAAGATGATGTTCTTGAGGCACGAGGCCTGCATCTACCCGCCCTTCGATTGGGCCAACTCCTGGGTCGGGCCTGCTAACAACAACTGCAACATTTGCAAAATTGACAAGTAGTCTCTTTTCCCCGCGTCACCTCGAGACACGTCCAACAACTGCCGTCAAAAATAGTAGCCCTCTCAAATTATGGAGCAATCCGACCGAAATTTGGACGCAAATTTTTAACTTTTGAGTACTTTTCACATCATGTTTCCTTTCATCTAAAAAGGGTGTTTTTTCATCCTTCATTCAGTATTTTTAAACCTTGGAAAAACGGAACTCAGAAAACTTACCGCTTTTAAAAATGTTACATTGTGTAAAATGAAATATATATACTTATTTAAAGAAAAAACAAAATATCATTTTTTCACCTTTGTTGTCAAAATAAATGGACCATATTTTGCAATAAGGAACTACTATCTCCGGCTCCTCCATAAAAGCACCTTTCTGCATAGGGAATCCGATGGCATATGTGCTGTTTCTAAAATAAGCCAGAAATATTGATTCCTTATTGCAAAATGTAATCCAAATGAAGCAATCCAAATCGGTATTCACAAAATTGACGAGAATTCTCTTAGAGAAAGCCAGCATCGTCAAAAAATTGTCGACATCAATAATTGACAATAGTTGACACACATACTGTGTACCCCTACCCCTACCTTTGCTCAGCAGCGTAACAATCAGAAAATATTGCATAACTGAGAGCGAAAGATTCCACCACCACGAAGGTACCAACCCAGAGCCTGTCATCATATTTTGGTATCACTGACACTACGATTCAATAATTGGACGTAGTTCTACCAAACAGACCTATGTGGAAGTGAGAAATATGGGGTGTGCTCGTTAGTCTCTGGCCGTAAGAGTGAATGAGAATAATAAAGCGCCAGTGACGTCAACGGAGGAGGACGCCGCGTCACGTTCCTCGTGGTTGCGGTAGTCGTGGTCATTAACTCATGAGCCCTGTCCACAACGCTCTCTTGCCATGCCCGCGGCTCATGAGTTCCGCATTCAGTTGCACATAGGTCTCTTTGATAGAATGCAATATCCCGCTTTGCCAATTCTTCAAAAGGAACCACGCCCACTTTTACATTGCTTCTTATGCAGCTTCCACGAGCACACCCCACATTTCTCATCGCCACATAGGTCTGTTTGGTAGAAATACGTCCAATTTGTCTATGATTATTCAAGTTCTCACAATCGGCCACCAACAGTTGTAGCGCAAAAAGTGAACGAACTTTCAACGAGTGCCGGGCTAAATGTTTCGAGGGCACTCCCGGAATGACATACGTGATTCGGACGATTGCGTGACGTCTGGTCCATGAATATTATATGAAGCGCCATCTATTTCTTTGTAATCATCCTTTTTATACCACTCCGATTCGATACACTCCGCCTATTCCAATATACTCGGGCCCTTATTACCAGCACGGACTGTTTCTAGGGGTTTATCAACTGCCATGAGTGAAGAAAACACTAATATTTGATGCACGCTTGTCCTCAGACTTCGGTTAGGGTAAACAGAATCTATCATGGAACGTCTTCATACATAATTTTGACGAGTATACTGCCGTGCTGAGGAAAAACGCCGTATGAGCCTTCGGGCGTTGCCAAATTTCCTTTGACAAATCATGAATTTTCGGGAGTATATATAAAACAATTTCTCCCGATTTTTCACAAAATTCCGTTCGTAATTTAATCTTTAAAATCAAAAAACCTCAAGGGAAAATTTTCATAAGTTTCTTCAAAAATAAATATTTCCTGAGAAGAAACTTGGCATCGTGCGAATGCTCATACGGCGTTCTTCCTTAGCACGGCGGTATAGGCAAAATTAGATTAGCACTGAGAGACTTAAAAGGAGAGAGGAGGGGAAGAGGAGAAGAGGGGAAGAGAGAGAAGTTTGATAATGTGAGCTGAACTTTCGATTATCGATATTAATCGAACCTCCCGGTTCTAACTTTCGGTTCCCGTAACCAAACGTTTAGCTCGTCTAACAAAACTCGCAAATTTTATACCTAACTGAAGAAAAGGCACGGTAGCACAATCCTGAGCTACTTAAAACTGGATTACGTTTATTCGCACGTTTGATGTCATACGGCGCACAGAGGAACGAATTAATATCAGAGGTTGGACATGAATTTTTTGGATAAAACTGTTATCATAGCAAGAGGAATCTATTAATATTTTGCCTCCTCTCGCCCAACAACGTATTTTCCAGCAGCGCATGTATTTAATTTTATTTCCTTTTTGTTCTAGTGTCCGTCGAGTTCAGAGCTATCATGCTTATCTTAAAGATTAAGTTTAGGATATTGTTGATGTGCAATGGCCTGAAAGGAGTTGTCAGTAAGTAGAAAAATTTAATTATTTTTGCCCCAAAAAAGAAGGAAAAAACGAAATTTCACTATTGACTGGTGCTTTTTAGTATATCCGCCACTATTAGAGCCTAGTGTTACAAACAATAACTAAGAAGGTCAAATTAAAACTGAAAAAATTTGCATTATCAGATGATATGAAGTTAACCCTTTAATAGGCCTTTATTGGTTATTCTAAATTCTACTTTTGAGAAAAGTCTATGATTCTGAGGGAAGGTTTGCACGTTTAGCTCGTCTAACAAAACTCGCAAATTTTATACCTAACTGAAGAAAAGGCACGGTAGCACAATCCTGAGCTACTTAAAACTGGATTACGTTTATTCGCACGTTTGATGTCATACGGCGCACAGAGGAACGAATTAATATCAGAGGTTGGACATGAATTTTTTGGATAAAACTGCAAATTTTAATGTTCAGATCGTCACATTTTGAAGTATATGGGGTGCTTCAAGAAGAAAATTTCACAAGAAGACCAATGGAGTCATTTTTAAAACCTCAAAATTTTGTTTGAACGGAGTTATAAGCATTTAAAGTTTCCAAATATTGTCCGACCACTCCCACTGATTCGATCTATTGTGCGTCGGACCGTTCGGGTGTCACTAAATCCTGTATCTTCGAAGTTACCTGGCTCTTTTTTTCAATCTGAATCAAGTTTAAAGGAATTATTTGGCAGCACAGAATATCGCGGTTGAAGAATTGTGCTATCAATCGCATCAATACATGTTTTAAAAGTAAATCAGTAAATACTTTTCACTATTAGGAAATAAGTTTATCAATTCTAGACACAAGGTTTCTCATCCCAAGAAATCCAAATCCGGTCACCCTTGGGGACTAAAAAGAAGGTCCTGACTTCGAAATACGGATTCCATATTTTGTTAAATCTGCGTCTATGGGCCAATATGGTATTGAATTCATCGATAAGAGTAATCAACCTTTGAACATAACTCGTTGAGTGTCTGCACGAAAAAAAGCCGAGGAGAGCACAAACCTGCCACGAAAGTTGCATCGAAGGTGATTGAAGGCGTTTTGTTTAGTTTCAAATAAAGACCCGTGAGGGCTAACCTAACGTAAACCCATTCTCTAGACTCTTGACTAATGAGAGTCTGTTGGCGGTGCTTTAAACGGACGCCAATTAAATAACTATAAGGTAAATTAAAGATGGAAAGGTTTAAAAACTCACCAACACGGGGTGGTTGTTCTAAAAAGCGCCAAATTTGTCAAAATTGCAACCAGAAAGTGACGGTAACACTTCCAAATAACTCCCGCGAATCAGTGATACTGGAATTAGCACGAAAGCCTTCTGACAGAGATGTTCGATCAAAATGTCGACGCGAAATATACAACCGGAGTCAACTTGATTTTAGGAGATCTCATCTGGTGAAAAATAAATAACTATTTTAACCAGGCCTCGGCTTGGTTTAGTTACACCGCGAAACTTTACTTCACACAATGATGGTTTACGACCGAATTTTGGAAAAAAGAACAATAAACTTTAAATTTGTCTAATGAAACTCAAAATTCTCATTAAAAATGTTTTTCACAATCACAAACGAAAAAATTTGCACGCTACAAACGGAAAACAAATTTGGATGAACGCGACAGTTGACGTTGAACAACGGGTGAGGCTCAAAATATTAATAAAATGAAACTAAAGGAAACGCACTTTTTTACAGGTTTAAAGGTAATTCACACGAAAAACGAACTGACGGCACAATTGGAGGGACGAAAACACGTAAAGCTTTAAAAACTGAAAATTTGGAACGAGTGAAACAAGAATTATTTACAAAGCACACGGGACGGACGACAAACTGAAATTTTTTGAACCAAAATTTATCTCATGGTGATGAAACGAAAATGGCGGATTTTGCCAGTTGCCAAATCTTTAAGAAAGGGGTAAAATAAAATACGGTACGCTGAAAGATTCCTTACAAGACGTAGAGAAGTCAAACGCTGTGATGGTGTAAACAGCTGATGAAAATTAACCTTAATATCCTCCACACTTTTTCTTAGCTCTCAAATTTTATCATTTCCCTTGCTCTCGCCATTCGAAAAATAAAAATGTTTTCCTTCTTTTCTGTTTACTGCTGATACCACTAATTTCATTTATTTCTCATCATATCACCCCACTTGCGTGAAGGAGAGTTTATGTTATCACGTGGGTTTTTTTCTTTCTCGCTCCCGGAAATGTAGCCGGAAATAGATGGAAATGGCGTGACAAGTACGAGAACAGCCGAAATCATGCCATGGTGACTTTAGGTACAGTTGTAAAAAAAGATGTCCGGTCATTTTACCTCAATTGCGGAGAGTGCGCGAATTTTATATCGATGCGAGCATATATAATTCTCATGCGCGTCGTAAATTCGGATAGAAGAAAATCTATGAATTTCCTTCAATTTCTCGTGATACCAAATACTTACTCCGGCGTTCGAATAGTTGCTCGCTTCGATTCCGACCGTTAAAAAGTGGGAAATTGCTCGAATTCCATCTCTATATCGCGAAAAGCACGAGATGTTTCCAACGAGTTCGTTAAATCCTGAGAAAATAAGCGCTTTTCATCTCGGTATCGCGCAAGATAAGTTTTTCTTCTAGCGATTTTGCACGAAAAAATGAGAAATGGGTAACTAAACCTTGTTTATTTTATTGAATATTCTGAAAGTACTATGTGAGGAGATAACGTGGTGATTTTTCCGCATTTTCATGGAGCCAAGATCGCGGAGAAAACCACTTTTGAAAAATCTAAAAACTGCAAGACATTTAATTTCAAACGCACCCGAATGTCGGGAAACTGACGCGGTTGATGTACTGTGGTAGTCATACCGCAATCTTCTCTCATTTTCCTCTGATGTTTGTTAAAATAAAACGTATTTCAATGTGGAGTTGTTGCTTGTTTATTACAACTAACATACGAATGAGATTCTAGTCTTGAATTCAAAAGATATAATTTCGACTTTAGTATTGTTCTCATATACGAAGAGTAGATCGA